CTGACAGTCAGGCTATTTTTCAAGATGGCCGCTGGCATTTTTTTATTTAAAAAAAAATAAATAAAAAATCAGAAATTAATCATTTTAGCAGTGTGTTTTTCATGTTTAAAAAATAAATAAATAAATTAAAAATTAAAAAAATAAACATATTTAAAAAAGAGAAGAAAAAAAAAGGAGGCGGCCCCCACAGGAAACGGGCGGGAACGCTAAACATGTATTTTTTTTTTAATGGCCTAATTGGTTGAAGATGGCATTTCTTTTTTTTCCTCACGTATTCTAGTGTTCTGACAGAAGAGCAGGCATTTATTGAGCATAAATAAACATGTATGTACTTGTAAGTATATTTCATTCATTCATCCTGGATAAAACCTTGTTTAACCTTGTTTTGGTATTTAATCCACAAGTCGTAGAATCTTTTTAAGTCCACGTACAGTGTACATGTACATTTATACAACAGCATTCACATCAACATCTGGGTCTATTGGCAATACAGATGTAGTCTAAAATTAATTAACTCAGTGGATGCCTGCTTCAAAGTTCTATTTTAAAGTGAAAGTACATTGTGGTTTTAAATGTCAGTGATCCCAGTCCCCAGCTCTTCGTCTGCCATAGCTCCACCCTAACATTTCCTACCGTCTAGAATACTGTAGGCCCGTCTTCATCAGCTCGAAGTTGCAATTAGCGGGATATTTGGTAGAGATAATCATCCCAAGATATCTTGGGCTAGTTTACAAAATATCCTGCTATTTGTCTGTTGCGTCCTCACCAGCCAGAAGACTTGCACTATGCGCGAACGCTGAGCAAAATATCTTGAGCTAATTTCTTGAGCTCGAGTTTCAAGTTTCGAGGTCAAGTCTCGAGCTGATGAAGAAGCGATTTGTAACTTTGGGATTGTTTCCCAAATCAGAAATAGCTGGCTATTTGGCAATCTCGTGCTGATGAGGACAGGCCTAATGTGATCCGTTGGACAGGATGACTCAACGTTGCATTGATTTGATAAGGTTTGGGACGGGAGCAGGGTTGCCAATCAACAACATTACATTGATGTGAGCAACATGATGAAGTCACTTCTAAAGATTCATGTTGTAGACAAGACTAGATTTAACTTGGGGGGGGGGGGGGAGAGGGTTGAATTAAAAAAATCTGTTGACCAAATTTGCTCCAGACAGCAAGACTTATACCAACACCCTTGTTTCTTGAATGAAACAATTTTCTCCCCCGAAAAAGAAGAATAAACACTATGTACATAAACTGTCATCTGTAATCAATGTATTGGCATTTCTTTTTGCAGTGTTTCTATAAAGTGCCATAAGAACAACACCCAGAAGATTTAATAAAATTCTTCCCCAAAAATGTATGATATTTTAATGGAAAAATAAATGAAATGGAAGAAAAAAATGAATGAAATGATTATTTTTGCATAACTTGCAAATGTACATGTACATGTATGTATGTGATTGTAAATTACAATGTAATGTACATTGTAACATTTTGTACATTGTAAAAAAATCCTAACCTACTGGATCATCTGGAAGCAAGTTACCTCAATGACATTTTATGTTAAATAAAGATGTCTACCTCGTGCACCAAACATCCAGTTAAAGACATGAGGGCCTCCCCTCGAAATTCGCCACCTTTATGTGACCAAGCGAGAGCTGCACTGTTACGGAGTAATGTCCCTGCTCGCATTCTTGACATGTGTTAACATACTGAGAGGTACATTGGAAACAGAAGGGGCCCATCTCCAGGGTCGATGTTAATACTACAGTATACATGTACCGGTACACCATTTCTTGACACGTACTGCACATGTAGTCAGTGCGTCCCAGAAAAAACGAAACTGAGAATTATCGATGTTTTATCATAACTTAATCAAATTTAAAATTAATAAATGACACATATTTGGAAAGCTTATATGTAGATTCTCCTCTTTCATTTGATGCAACTCAAATAATACATATTTCACGCATAAGTGATTAAAATGAATTTGAAGAGAGGAAACCAAAAAGTCATTTGGCGGACGGTATCTGAGTTTCAAGGGGAAAATCACATTTTTAGAAGGTTGAGTTTCTGCCCTCTCATATGACACCTCAATCAGGAAAAATGAGCAAGGAATGACAAACTTCTGTTTGTTTGAAGTAGTGCTTGCATTTCCATAATTTTATCAAATGAATTCGTTTTCACTGGGTGCCTGCCGTAGCAACACACTGAGTTGACAAAAGACTTAACTCCATTTCATTGACAATCAGCCGTAGACGAAAGACTCCATGCATGGCTGATTGTCAACGAAACAGAGTTAAGTCTGTTGTCAATTATGCATGTTGCTATTGCAACAGTGTTTCGTTTTTTCTGGGACGCACTGTATAGAGAGATACATTTGAAATAAAATCGCGGACTTGAAACACCAATATAAAGTACATAAATTGTACATCACAGAAAGGTGTTGCCACTAGGGTTATATTTGAAAATGTGTTTTAAACGAGCAAAAAGGTACATTCATGCAGCCTAATGGATGTAAAGAGGCTCTTTGTAAAAGACTACGTACATGTATGTATATCGTAGGGCATATTCTGAGGCATGTGTGTTATCGTTGGCTTGATAGTAACAGGTACTTTGTCATTATCAATCACTAGCTCACCGACAGCTTCATTGGCAGGGGAGTGCTGGTAGACTAATTGATTGCTATATTTGACATTTACACATACATGTACATGTAGCTATTGTATTAGACTGAATAGAAACAGACTGATGCAATGTACAGGTGCATTCTAATTTCAAAGATCATTCAAGCTTTAGCTATAAATGTACATTGAACATGCAGCCTAGGTGCCAAGTAAAATCATTGGCCAGTAAACTAATGAAGGCATAATTACGTGTAGTACTGATTTTAGACCTGGTCAATCTCTTTCTAGTAAGGCAAAGTTAATTCACTGATTTATGAAGTGCCATACATGTACATGTTGACATACAGTGTAACCTGCACTGTATTTAACTTGTAAAATTACCATTATATAGTCATCAAGAAAACGGTTCCTGTACCTGAAATCTGTGTTTTCATTAATTGTAACAAAACCATAATCCATCATGAAGTACATGTACAGGGTACATAAGAAATACTGCATAAGGTACATGTCATGTACATGTAGGTTTTTCACAACTCCTATACATTACTTCTAAAGACCTACACTGTACACATTACAAGTTACATGTACAATGCTTTCAAACCTGTCAGACAAAAAAAATCATCCATAACAAAACAGGACAAAGATCCAGCTTTGTCATCTCACTTGAAATAGCAAAAGGTTGATTGGGCGATAATATTTAACCAGTCAGCGCCAGTTTCTCTCCACATGCTAAGTAAACACACCGAAGCGCCTCTGCAAACATTATACACACTACACGTACTGTACATGTAAACACAACGAGCTTGCAACATAACAAGCAGAATGACGATGTTATTGTGCGTAGAAATGAATTTTGATATGTATTATGCACTCGAGTATTACATTTTGAGGCAATCTTTGTCCGTGTATGCTTTCTGTAAATTGCAGATAGAGATCTGCATTATAATGTCAATGTCATTGCAAATTAAATCGAATTTAAATAAAGGTTTAATCCATGTGTAATTCATTTTTAATGTACATTACAGTACATACATGTAATCAACTTCATGTTTCATACTTATTGACAGTTTTGCATTCGTTCGCAAGTCTTTCACGTTTGATTTACTCCTAGATGATCTTACCATACCAGAGAGTAATTGTGACAAATTGCTTGATTGTGTCGATTCTGCCATCTGTTCACTGTTCAGGTTCTTGTTGGTAGGAATAGTGAGTGACATGTACATATACATGTACACCAAATGGAGGCCTACATATGCAGCACATACTCTACTACATATGACATTTTGTGTTTGGGGTATAACCGGGCCCTGTAAGCACATACAATGTACTATTCATGTACATGTACAGTATGCATGATTTTTTGATTTTGTATCACTTTATTATCAATCTATTCTTCAATAAAGGAACATGGTATAAACATAAAAGAATTGCACAGCCACAGACATATAATAAGAGTAGTCCAGGTCATGGCTCATAACTGCCAGGGAAAAAATTAATATTTATTTTTCGGGAGCTACTTTTCAAGCTTGCCCGCATGAATATAACATTCTTAAACTTGTTTTGCATTGAACTCTATGCAAATTTATGGGGGCTCTTTTCTGATTTTCAGGGGCTCTTTTGGGCATTTCGGGGGCTAATTCGCCCTGAGCCCCCGTGTATTTTTTTCACTGATAACTGCCAAAGCAGGGCATACAATACAAAACATATAAGACATAAAGATGTTATAAAACATGATTGCCGAGATCTTTAACAGTAGTTGTGTTCATGTCAAATTGTTTCGTTTCAGATTAAGAAAAATACACAATTTATAATTCACTTTACTCAATTAATGTATACAAATGCTTAATCGTTTTGGAGGAATAGAGGGCTCACGTAGGATATAAATAATATTATGTGCATTGTGCACCTGTGTATTTCTTTGAACATGTTTAATACCACTACACTACAGGTACATGTGTATTTTAAGTCAACCAATATTTGTAGTACCCTGTTACTGCACATGTACTGTTATTCTCAAGTCTTCAGGATAACGCTCATCATACAGTGTACAGCAAGGCATTGATCTACATTTGCCACCCCATACCCAGGAGAGAAATGGGGACCTGGTAGGATGACAAAAGCCTTTTGTACACTGTGTACCTCTTGCAAGTGTGAAATATTAAAGGGTGTCTTCTAGTACAGTAAACCAGTCCTATCAATCATCAAAAAATGAAATAAGCACCCAAGACAACTAACTGTACAGTACATGTACACATGCATGAGCCATCCAAATGGTAAGATTAAGAGCATACAGGGGAAATTTGCCATCCTTATCGCATCTAAAATCTGGGTTAATACAAGTTCAACTATTTTCAAGAAAATATGTATAGAACTTACCAGGATCAGAAGTATTTGTGATCTGCACATTTAGTATTTCCTGGGGATTGGTACTATAGGCTTCATAATCCACACTTTGTAAAAGTGTTACATCTCCAGACATCTCATCAATGGAGAACTTGTCGTTGACGGGAGTCCCCATGGCGTAGCGCAGATCAGCACCTGTTTCTGTGATCGTGTGGACAACAGTGTCCATTGCTGTCGACTCTGTAAGATTGACAGACTCTCCAGGAAGGACGTCTCGCCGGACACGGACCATCTTCACAGGTTCATTGGGAGGATACATTATATCATCCTCGAACGGACGAAAATTGTCGGGCAATGGACGAACGATGATGGTTACCTCTGCAGGAAGAGACATGAGGGGTGGGTTCCCATGGAGATCTTGAGCTGAAGCTTTAATTTCCATATGAAATTGTGAGGTTGTCTCACTATCCACAGGAACAGTGGTGAAGATCTGAACTCTGCCTTCAGGATTGACTTGAAGCCTGAAATTAGCACTGTCCTCTCCAGCCAGCTGGTATGATACAGGCTTTGTTGAAGCTATCTGGAGATCATCCAGACCCATTACTTCCTGGCTTGCTTCGTGGCTCTCAAAGACGTATCCTCTGTACGACTTTTTTGAAAATTCAAGAGAAGAGTCCTCGACATGTAAATTTAAGAGATCGTCCCATGACTGACCTCGAAGTGTGTGTCTCACTTTGAGAGCAATGTCACTGTTGGCCAGGTGCTCGAGGGAGTTCTTGATTTCCAAAGCACCATTTTCAGCTATCTGGAACAGATTGTGAACATCCGAGTCTGAAAGAAGTTCTGAAAACTGCCCACTTTTCTTTACTTCAGTCACTTTAAATCCTGGCAAGGCATTGGAAGGCACATTGATTCGAGGCAAAGCGAGGCCGAGTGTTAGTTGTAGTGTGGCTAATATATATATTACAGATAAACACAAATTATGTGTCCTGTTCCACCTCAGATTTACAGCCATCGTTTCCTTTAATATTTTACTTATTTCAGAAGAAATTGCCTGAAGCTTTTCTTAACTTAGAACTTAGAAGATTTAGTGATGACAAAAATTGCACAATGGTTGTTCTACATGGTATATTATCACAGTTGGTAGTTGCTTCCTCTTGATCTCTCCTGCAAGTAAGAAAAAATGAAGGAAAAAATGGAGGAATGGTTAATCACACTCAGCAATGAGCATATTTTCAATTACCTCTTCAAATTCAAAAAACTAAATATTCATTTTGAAATGTCAAAATAAGGTTAATAGACATTTAATAAAATCAAGTGCAGTTTAATCATTGCATATATATACACTGTATATCTGACATTTTATCCATACATGTACATTACAGTGTACAGTGTACTTTTCCTTTCAGCCCATTGTCATGAAAGGGAAGTTATACTTTTAAAATGAACGAAAACTGGAAGATCAATGTCCAAAGGGCTTGCATAATAGGTATTTATTGCAATCTATAAAATGATTTCTACAGTACATTATGTTGTATTATACATTTAGTGAAAATAGCAACAAAAAATTACTACTTTACCAACATAAGGTTTCACAAAATGTCTAAAAATCATCCAGGTCTATTAAAAAAAAATGAAAACAAAACAAAACAACATCTCTACATGTCATTTCATCATAATCTTTTGTGATGGCACTACATTTACATTCTCTCTCTCCAAAAAGACAACAATGTGGATTGCTTATCAATCTACATGTAACATTTCATACTTTCTTTTATTCAAGAATCTCAACTAACCACAGGTCTTAACCAAAATGATTATTATTTCACAAACCCTTACATTTCATATTTTGGAGAATAGTAGACCAATGAAAATGATGAGAATTTATTTCTATAATTTAATTGAGCAATGATTCCTTCTGAAGTTCTGATCAATTTTCTTATAACTTGAATGTAAAAAAAATTAAGCCACGGACATCAATACCGCTAGACCAACTAGCGGTGGGTACAGTGTAGTACATGTACTGTACAAATACATGTACCGAGTCTGACAATGGCAACTAGAAACAAAGAATCTCTGTACATGTATGATGTACAGGGTGTACATGTAAATAATCAATAGTTTTGGATCATGATCACTCAACACTTATGGGACCAAACCTTTGTGGGACTGTGTTGCAAATTCACTCAGCACTAGCAACAGTGCACTGCACTACTTTAAAAGAAAACACGAAATCTTCATTTATATTTTAGGGACGCAAAGTCATGCGAAAAACAAGTAGAAAACTAAGGAGAAAAGTCTGATTTAGGCCTACACTGTTTAAAGTGTAAGTAAAGTAAAGTTGCTTAATCACTAGACCAAATTTTCTGTCTCTTTCGTTTGTTAGCCTTTGATTTGGGTAGGGTCGGAGCCGACCCGACCCTACCCAAATCAGAGGCTAACGAACGAAAGAAACAGAAAATTTGGTCTAGACCCTACTTAATCACAAGCCTCGAAAGACGAAACAAAATCTTCAACATCAAAATTCACATTCACAACACAAACAAATTAGTTCTTCCTGAAACTAGTAGTAGTAGTAGTGAGACAATATGAGATTAACAGTCAGCAGTCTTACAGTAGGCCTAGATATATACTTAGTTTTATGAGAACCACCCTTTTTGCTAATGCCAATGTCATCATCATGGCAAAGGCAAATTCAAACTCAAGTCAAAGACAACTTCAAATCAGTTTGTTTTGAGTTTGACTGTGTCATTCAATAGCACAAGCTCATACGTCACAAGTCTAGCTTAATTATGGAGTAGGCCTAAGTACCGTAGATCTAGACAGAAATAACCGTCTGGTATAAGGCATTCTTTAATAAGAACTGACATTTGTTCGGCCTTCCTACATGTCCTACGATGCAGCAAGCTACAGTACTACTGTCAGTAGTACAGGGCCTGGGCCAGGATGCGGCGACGGATCGAGAAGCTAAGGCGTACGTAGGGCCAGGAATACGAGTGCCACTTGGGTGGTGATCAACAGTTGCGGATGTTCTCCCTTATTACCATCTCCATTGATTCATCAACACTAAATAAAATATACATAATAATATTATTGACGATTATGTAATTGGTGGTGTTTGAGAAATCTTACCAATTAGCAGTTATCTCGTTTTAGGAAGATGTATTCTGTAGCTGTACTTTCCTCAAATCGCGTTTGACTTGAATATTATGTGTGTACTGTGCGTGCGGGCCATAAATGCGACGAGCGTGCGCGTCCGCGACCGCATATCAAATTCCGAAGTAAAAAGTCACACAACGGTTAATTCAATAGATTGTTTTGCCGTTCCAATCATTCTTTTTACACCCTTTTGATTCAAACTGATGTAAACGTATCTACGCTTGATTGCGTTTTTATTTCAATCATGATAATTTTTTCAATACGCTATTATATTACATTACAAATTAGTACCCTGCATTATGTAAAGGTAGAGATTGTACAAATACAATTATATAAATCTTTACCTCTTGCAAGGGTGCAAGTTGCATAAAGTGAATGCTTATTCATTATTGACAGTTTGCGGGGGGGGGGGGGGGTATCTAATCGAAATAGAAGAGTCTTTTGTTTTACCCTAGCTATAATACCGGTAGCCAACTACATGTATCCATAACCATAGAGGACAGGCAAGAAGAAAGCTAACTAATGTGTTACAAGACATAATCAAAACTTCAGAGAGACAATTTATCCATCGGTTGTGTCGACGATATGAGTTCGGGAGGGATTACCCGACAGCGATGACCTCATAACTCACTCACCTGTGAATGATGGGCGGGGCCATGTGCCGAATATGGTTATTCGTAGCGATAAGAACTGAGATCAAAGTGTAATACCGGAAGTATGCCGCTTCCGAAGCTAAGAGGCCTCCTCGTCTTCAACTTGAATTCAAGCTTTATATTAATTAGTGGACTTTTGATCCTATCAATCTCTTCTTTGCGTTATTTATTTCTCGTTCTCTCTTCTCCCTTTTCTCCTTTATCTCCCACCTCCATGCTTCAAAATGTTTTTTTTTTTGATGAAGCATATACATCGTAGCAACGTATCAGAACAATTACCCCCTGGAAAATTACCCCCAGAAATGACCCCCGGAAAACTACCCCACAGGGCCCGAGGACATAAATATTACCCCCCCCCCCCTGCCCACCGAGGACAATTACCACCCACCCCTGAAAATTACAATCTAGGACAATATTACACTCCCCCCTCCCTCCCCCGCCAGGACAACCAATGACAACCACCCCGAGGAAAATTGCCCCCCCCCCCCCTCCCGAAAATTACCCCCTGTTCATTTAAGAGGAAGTCCACCCTGATAATAATTTGGTTTTAATAAAAGAAGATTTTTTTTTCGGGGGGTAATTGTCCATGGGGGTAATTGTCCTCGGGGGTAATTTTCGGGGGGTTAATTGTTCTCGGGTACCTCTTGGGTGGTTGTCCTGGGGGGGGGGGGGGAGGGGGTAATTTTCCTGGGGGTAATTGTCCTAGAACCTATATTCATGTATAAGCGACCCATATCATATTTGAAGATTTATATTACAATTAACGACGAGTTCCTTTTAAAAAAATAAATCTTGGCCTTATCAAACATGCACAGGAAGAAAATAGAAAAGCGAAAATAAATGAGAGTTTTTAAGAAATGAGCGTTCTTTAATTAAGGTATGGTGCACAATAATCGCTTTGCTCCATCGCGAGTATTCTAATTACTGCATCATTATTTTTCGTTCCCTATCAGTCTAATCTAAATGCTAGATCAATATGCGCATTTGTGTATATTGCACCAATCCTCTATAACAAGCTGCCAAGTGACATGATAACAAGCTTTTTATTCACTCAGACTTACTACTGCTATTAGGCCATTAGTGCCTTTTTGAAAATCAGGAAGGAAGAGGCCCTTTTTTTCCGCTCGGTACATTTTCCCTCACAGTCGGGCTATTTTTGAAAATGGCCGCCAGCATCTTTTTAAAGTATTTATCAGAAATCGATAATTTTAGCAGTATGTTTTTCATGTTTTTATTCTTTATTTTTTAATATTTGTTAATTGAAAAAAATTAAAAAAGAGATAAGAAAAAAAAGGAGACGGCCCCCAAAATGAAGCGGGCGGGGACACTAAACATGATTTTTTTTTTAATGGCCTTATTTTGTTAAATCCTGGTGAGAGATTTGTGTATTTTGTTTTGTATATGCCTAGCTAAGTTGTTATATAAACTGATACAAGTGCGCTTTATAAGTAATTATTATTATTTATTATCTGTATGTGCATGAATAGGGGTATCCCCGCTGTTCTCTGCTAGACAAGATACTGTTTTGTGGAATTTGGGTCTTTGATAAATTGCAGCAAAACAACAGTGTCAGTGAGGGTAACAGAGTAACAGGTGCAGATAACAAGTACAGTCACTCTCACCTCATAGCCATTAGCAACTGGTAAGTAGCACATTATCTACCGCCATCTCTTGGTGGAAAACAAAACATAACATGTCCACCAGGCGTTGTGGCGTTGTGGCGTGCCACAACTAGGCGTTGTGGCGTGCGCCTGTAATCCAGCTAAAAAGTGGAAGTTACAAACTGATTCAGCCGAGGACGCAGGTTCGAAACTGAGTCACGTCTTTCGGATGGTGACGTTTAAAGGTCGGTCCCAGACGTAAATAATCATATCTGATTGATACACGTCTGTAAAAACCCAATACACACACACACACACACCACCATCTAAATCTTGTGTTTTTTATGATCCCAAAGTCATGAATAAGTTACCATCTAGAATCATAGGCTCTATTTCCAAATGTGTCATAAAATGTGTAGTGACCGCCCCCCCCCCCTTTGTTTTAAATAAATTTGTTCTGTCGGAAAATTTGAATTTACTTTTTTAAAGAGATATCAGCAAGTTAAAAAAAGAAAAAGCCATTTTCGCTTGTTGGAAATGTTAATAGGCCATGGTTTCATTCCCATTCTAGATTTTATGCAATTTGCAGCAAACGTATTCTTTGTAACAATGTTTAGCTAATAATATATCTGGTGAATCTGTTTTATTTCTTCTTATCAATATTCTCCCTTGTTTTGATATATATACCCTTTCATTTTTCGTTTTTCGCTTTCTTTACCACCCGTGCGATCGATCTTTTTGTCTTTCATCTCTCGTTATATCCTTCATTCATCCCTTGCTCTCTCTGACCCGTATTCTCAAGTCTGGTTTAGTTAAACCCGGGTTTAAAGTTAACCCCCCCCCCCCCCCGACTTCAGAATACGGGCCTTTCTCTCCCTTCCTTTATTATCTCCCTTTCTCTGTTCTGTTATCTCTTACTCTCTCCTCCTTAACCCTTTATCACCTGCCTTTATTTATATATTTTGTATCCCTCCTTCCCATTACTTTAGGTTTATATCGCCCTCTCCACTTTAATCTCTCTACCCGCTTCTCTCCCTCACACCCTGTCTCTCTCTCTCACTTCATCTCTCCCCTCTTACTATATCCCTCGTTATCTCTATCTCCCTCTTCCTCTCTTTACATTCTCACTAGAATTCTTTGATCTTTTTAACCCAAGCTCAGTTAAATAGCAATGACTTTAAATCTGGGCAATACAATTTGGAATAATGCTGTCATAATAAAGCTCACAGCATAAGGTACTAACAGAAAGAATTAAACTATGAATCTGAAAAGAAGGCATTAAAAGAGGGAAAATATAACTGAGGGACCACATGATGTCGTATATCTCATGAAAAATACCCAAAACACACCAAAATAAAACGCTGCTGCTAACTAAAATGGTACAAGCATAGTGTGCATCATATTTCAATATATTATTAAGTGTAAAAGAGAAGCATTAGGGGCCGTTGTTGCGCATTATTTTTAAACCCGACTGGTCATTCATTTACATGTGAAACGGTCTTTATTTTTCCACAGTTGCTCTAGGGAGGCAATTTACCACACCATACATGAAAAAGAGACCTTAAAAAGACCCCTAATTTTTTTCTTCCGTATCTTGTAATAAACAGAAGAGTGATAGGGGCCATTGGAGCAAATATATCCTTTGTTTTTACCCCACTGGCCTTTCATTTACATGTCAAATTTGTCTTTATTTTTGCAATGGGTCTTAGAAGCAGTTTATCAAATCATATGTGAACACCGCTTTAAACGTTCCCCATAGCTCAATGATTCATCAAGGCATATACATGTAATACAGAATCCAAAACATTATAAACTTCTTATTGATATGATCTATTTGCAAATGAAAAATTATCTGCCCACTTTTTGTTTCACGGCATGTCATAGCAAACATTATAGGCTACGGAGAAAAGATGACTTGTATCACAAAATGGACCAATAGGAATCGAATGCTATCTTTTCAAAGAACATATCTATTTTCGGTTAGAAAAAAAATGCTGGAACGGCTGCGAAGCTCTACTAGTATGCATACATCTTTAGGTACACATGACTCTCTGTTTGTGTGTGTGTGTGAGCTTGGGTGTGTGGATGAGGGTGTTGGGAGTATGTTTAACGGGGGAGGGAATGGGAGAATAGACAAAAAAAAATCCTCAAGTATACTTTAATATTCTTGATCATATATATGAAAATGTTTTCTAAACAGTTTATGAAAATGTACTTTCATTTACTTGTTATTATTGCAATTTATGTTTTATCCAAAATATCAATATACATACAATGAATCAAGTTTTGATGTGTATAATATGTATTTGATTTGAGGGAAAATAATACAAATATCTTTAAAAAAAAAAAAAAAAAATACTCCAACACACACTATAAATGGTCTCATACACAACTTTATTCAAATATTGTCAGACAACTGAAGCACATCACAAATCAATTTAATTTCCTTTGTTAGACTTAGGAAAATGGCCACACTACTGACAATAGTGTCTTCACAGCGAGAGTCCCTTAAAGATTGCATGCATGGGTCAGTTTCAACATTGTTTCATCACAGGTAAGAAGTTCTGATTGTAATGCCCCAGAAGTTTTTAAAGCCATCCCATCTATGAGTAAGCCGATACAAACTTCAGATAGACGTAAGCTGTACGTTCGATTCAGCAATGTTTTGGAGAGGTTAGACTTCACTGTCGAGTCCCAGAGAAATTCATATGTTAACATTTGCCCTCCATGTCCAAATCTCTTTGGGAAAGTTCTGGGTCTGGGATGTTAACTCTCGATAGCTATTTAGTCTCCTATGTACAGAGTGTCATTCCGAGGGGATAAAATGATGAATATGGTTGATATTACTACAGAGATATTTTCCTGGCTGTGAACTGGTGTTGATACGGCTCCAAATTGAATCTGGTGGTAGGGGAGGGGGGGGGGGGGGGGTTCAAGGTATTCACGCAATATTGAATATTCCCCCTTGCCAAAGACATCACAATATTTTTTTTAGAGCATTCGAAATATGGATGCAAATATTCCATCCTAGAAGGACAAAATACAAGTACCTTACTCTATTTAAAAGAATCAGACTTTGGGTACTGACTTCTCCCTTTAAACACTTCTTTCGTGGAAACCAAATTAATGTCAACCTTTGACCTTCTCCAAGTCATTGCTAATATTTGAATTGATCTATCTATATTCTATACATATCAAATACACTGTGACTCATTTATCCGACTTCTCCTCTTCCGTCTTGCCCTGTTCCAGTTGTTCGGGTGCTGGCTCCCGGTGATTGGGGAACGATTCCCAGGGGCTAGACAGGTCAAACTTGCGGAACTCCTGGGTCATCTCAAGAGGCTCGGCAACAACTCGCTTAAGCTCGTCGTCATAACGAACCTGGTATATGAAAGACAAAATTTGGTTACAAGTTTATTGCACATAATAATAATGATATTCAGCTTTTATATAGTGCTTAATACATCTCGGACGTCTCTAAGCACTTTACAGATATACTATTACCCCGGTCATTGGATTCAGTGATTGCCCGCAAACACTGTGTGCACAATCTCCACTCCCTGGGGAGCATTCCAGCCAGGCATGACTTTACGCTCAAAAACTGTTTGACCAACAATGAAGGCCGCATCCTACCGGGTACCCATTTTAACACCTGGGTGGAGAGTAGCAAGTGTAGGTTAATATCTTGCGAAAGGATATTAGTGCTGTGTCAGGATTTGAACCCTCTACCTTCGCATCTCCGGTCAAGGGTCTTAAACCACTCGACCACGACACTTCCATATACAACAATGTCTTCTTTGTTCTTATTTCCTTATAATGTAGTTTGTCAGAACAAAGAAACTCAGTAAAAAAAAGTTAATTCATCTATATAGCCAAGGAGATACTCTATCAAGTCATTAGCGCAACATGCATATCATTCTCACCTGAGAATCAATTTATCAGTAACTTACAACATACATACCGTAGTGAAACTTATAAAGTTGTCCTAATTGTCTTATACAAATTCACATTCAATCAAAAAGCAAACTAGACAACCACACTCAAGTCAAATTTGTGCATCAAATTGCATTAGCTTTTAAAGATCCTATGCCATGAAAATACAACTTTATATCAATGAAAAGCGGAATGAATGTAGAACATAAATATTAAGGAATTAACAATTTTTCACTTTCAGTATTGCACAAAACCTTCAAATTACGGGTCAATAGGGGTCAAATTTGCCAAAGTTAAAGTGACTTCATGTGGACCCGATCGGCTAGCGTATTAAAGATATAGACCAATAGTGGTAAAATTACGGTTCAAGGGTTTTGGGTGCAAAATATCCATTCAATATTGTTTAAATATTGCCTTCAGAGGTTTAGATGGCAATACTTCACCTAACTTTGTAAAATAGCAGAAATATATGCCCAAATGTTCAATGTTGAAGTGCATTCGCGATATCTATCCAGGCCGGATTGATATGATAATTTACCAAATATATCAATTAGTAGGCGGTTTCCCCGCAAAATTTGTATTATCACGTATTAGTCAAAACATATTCTTTTACATGATTGGTAATAAGAGCTTCCATTTCGTTTTTTGAGAGGGGGGGGGGGGCATTTCCAAAACTGGTCTATACCTTTAAGCTGCGGCAATAAGCAGTGCTTAATTAAAGAAGAGTCATTGTGAATATTTTAAAGATGGAACAGATTTTTCCGAAAAGGATCTGGCAATTCTTACTTTGTCAACTAATTTCATTTCTTACCCACTCCCCCCCCCCCCCCCTAACACTTCTCAGTAGACATCAGTAGGTCTGTGATACCTTACCTCTACAAAACCACTGAGAGGGAAATCTTTCCGGAGTGGATGACCCTCAAAGCCATAGTCGGTTAGGATTCTCCTCAGATCTGGATGGTTAGCAAAGAATACGCCATACATGTCCCATACCTGAAGAAAAGGTTCAGTTCAATCTTTATTTCATGCTCAATAAAAAATAACATAAGGTACATAAAATATGTACACAACAGAATTATACAAATAGATATCAATACAGATCAATTAGAACAAAAACAAATTATGAGAATGAGGGGTCTACAAAAACGAGCAAATAGCCTTATAGTATGTTGACCCCAAAATGAACAAAACATACATGATTATAAAAACAAATACAACAAAGAAATTAACATGCAATATATACCATTTCACAATATGAATACAAATTCAAAAGATGGGATATATATTGGCGTTAAAAAGAATTAAGTGATGGGCTGAATCTTAGTGCAGGAGGGACATCGTTCCATAGAGAAGGACCTTTAACAAATATTGAGTTATGGGAAATCAAAGTTCTGACTCGAGGTAAATGATAATTATATCAAACAAAACTCTTTATTAGATGGATGGCAGCACTGTGGTACATTGGTGAATGCTCTTTGTACATGTGAAAGTTGTGAAAGACGTCAATGTCCTGGATTTCGAACCTTGGCCCTGTGTTTACAAAATCTGTGGGCAAGGCGTCTCTCTCAACGATTGCCTCTCTCCACCCAGGTGTATTTCATGGACACTTGGTATTGCCGGGCTAATAACAATTGCAGGGCCCTCTGGAAGAGCATATTCATTGCAATGATGCTTCCCTGGCTACACAAGACATCTTATTATATTATAGAATGGATATTCGAGAACACTATCATGGAGGAAAACCATTGAATTGGGGTTTATTTCATTTCACTAGTGAGACAAAGTGCTGTAATGTAATTTTTTTATGATAATTCAACAATTTAGAAAGTGTAATATTCTGAAGAAATTTCCTTAGACGAATCTATGAATCTTAGGCTATCATTTGCAAGAGAGAAGTCACCTCAAATCAATTAGTCAGAATCAAGATACAAGTATTGATGAACTGTTGAGTTAACACAAAATAACAAATGAATAATTCATTTCTGACAAAGAAGAATTTCTTCAAAAGGTTATTTCATTACATTCAAATAAATCAATGATGGACAAAACTTCAATAACCTCCATTTTGAGTGATATTTGATTAGTAGGTATTCATTATAACATGTCAGAGAACATGAAAAGGTCAGACAGATAGACAAAATATACATGTACATGTTATCTTACTTCACAAAAGTTGTATCATTACATCATCATCACCTTCAAGAAAGGTAACATTTGAAGTCAATAGTTCCAAACACTCCTCAATGAAAAAAGTTTGACCTTTGACCTACCTCTCTCTCCAGCCAATCAGCTGCCTTGAAGACAGGTACAAGCGAGTCCACGGCACTCAGTTCATCTGTATAGGTCTTGATACGAATGCGCTCATTGTATCGCAGGGATAGCAGGTTGTAGACCAGCTGTGGAATATTGAGGAGAATATCAAACACGTTGTAGAAAAATTAGATATGATATATTACTAGTACTCAGTCTCCACTAATTACTTTATAAATGAAAAAATTAGTCCTCATTAGTATTACATGACCCATTCCTAAAATTTTATTTCCAATTGACAGTAAACTACACTTTAACTTATTGTTGCACACATGCAGCTGAAATAACCACTACTGGAATTGATATTTTTTGTAACATGTCATTTCAGTGTTAACTAATTTCAGACTATACATACCAGTATTACATTTATCTGACATATATGTAAATTTGATATCTTACAAAACAGGTACTATTTTCATATGCAGTTATGGGTAACTTAAGATACAATAAGGAAACATGTACAAACAAAACGATTAAAATAAATATTTGAAAGATGAAAGTTTTATGAAATAATTATCATTTGGGGTCATCTCTTATTTTCTAATACCATAGAACAAATTTCTCACGTTTCATGTTATGATTTTTTACACATAAAAAAAAAGGATCTCTAATTTTGATATCAGCAAACATAATATACTGATGCTGTGTCTCCTCTGCAATCCAATATTTGCTCAGGCACCAGTTGCTATCGGCTGCATTTGTTTTTTCTTCAAAGATAGGGTTAGAGTTGAGACTCGGTTTCACATTCGGTTTGTATTCAGAGTTTTGTGTTGAAGTTGGGTAGAGCTGAAGGGATTTCGTTAGTCAGAGAATATGATCATGGAACAATTGTTGGTGGAGTATGAGTTGTAGATGCAGTTTAACCCAACGGAAAGTCCACCTTGATATTTTAAGGTGGTTTTAAAGTAGAACAATGAGAGAGAGAGAGAGAGAGAATGAGAGAGACAGAGAGAGAGAGAGAGAGAGAGAGAGAAAGAGATCAGTCAATTTTTGAGAACATTTGAGAAACAATACCATAAAGTTTTTAATTCTTCAATGTTGTAATAAAATTCCAATCGAATACACCATGGCAATTCTGTGACACCCGATTCGTATTACCTCAAACCGTTGAGACCTGGTGGGCACATCGACGGCTGTGATGTCAATGAGAGACTTGAACTGTGCATTGTGGTGGTCCCTGAGGAATGTGATGACTGGGATGATGCCTTCGGGATGGATCATCACCTCCAGCTCGTTACCGTAGGTCACCTGTACCTCCTGGACGTACTTCGGGAGGCAGTCGGCCACGTAATTGCCAAACTCTACCAGTCGTCCCTTCTGGAGTTCATCGCGAGGTCGCACTATGGCTGCAGAGATCAAGTGTACATGTACATGGCATGTAACTAAAAACACCCTTTTCAAGATTGGATATACATGTAATTAAAGGTACTATGTCCCTTTAGCAGGCCCAAAAATGAAAAGGTTAAATTCCAAAGGCATTTGAAAGACAATACTAATTTAGAACTTCCCTAAAAAAAAAAGAGGACTTGAAAATGTCTTTAAGTAAGAAAATAATGACTATTAGTTGTCAAATCGACTTAGGAGCTATAGAGCCAGTAAGTAATTGTCTGATTTTTCAGATCATTGTACCGAACGGTCGTACGTTTTATGCTGCGCAAAGATTCAATCAGTTTAATTTTGGCCATTACAAGAAGTGGTTTATTGATGTTGACAAATGCTCATGTACCCTTTACAGCTCATTTTATGTATATTATTACCAAAGATGAAAAAAGCCAGTCAGTCACCCAATAGTGTCTGAGGTTCGTACGAACGATAATTTTGTACGAATCTCCGTTTTTCCATTGTCTTCCCGAATTTCCATTGTCTGAAAATCGTTCGTACAGCGTTCGTAGCCGTTCGTAATGGCATATGGGACCCAGGCTTAAGGTAGCAATTAAGTTTCAAAACAACAAATGAATGACATCTGTCTTACAAATTCATGGAAAATGGATACAGCAGGCCTATAATTTGTTCTAACCGGGTTGGACTAGCTTGGTCAGGGAGAAAGACCTGCAGGTTAGAGCTTATTAAGTTAGCCGCTTCCATACCCAGGAAACAAGTTGACATAGCCATTATAAAAAATCAATCGTTTCTCTTTTATATTTGAATATACTGTTTTATCTTAAGCAGGGCTCCCACTTAGCCAAGTTGGAACCTCGAGTTGTGGCGAGTTGGCGCGATCTTATGGCAAGCCGTTTTATTATTAATTGATATCAATAAATCAATTCTTGTTATCAAGAAATAATTTTATGTTGTAAAGCAATGGTAATTCTTGATATCAAGAATTCGATTTCGTGATATCAGGAATTCGATTTTGTGATATCAAGAAATATGTTTTAATGATAAAACTGCTTGCCATAAGATCACGCCAGCTCGCTACAACTCGAAGCTCCAACTCGGCTAAGTGGGAGCCCTGCTTTAGGGTATGTTGCCAAATGAATAATAACTCAATAAATGTTTTGTTCTCTTCTGTATACGTACATAGCTGTAATATTAAGCGAGATATATCTTTATATTCTCATTGGTGTCAAATCTAGAAGGCCTGACACAAGTCAAAGAGATCTGACTTGTTTCACATAATTAATTAATGTAAATGTATCGAATACTGTAACTAATGAAGATCCAACCCACTTTTCATACGGAATTTGTACTGTTAAATGAAACAGATTCCCATAACACTCAAAAATTTCATATTGACTGAACTTGGAAGCCTTTTGGATATTTCATACCTATCTCATAATGAGTACTCTGAGAGAAGAATTGATATTTTGCTTTCCTTAATTCTATTACTTTACCAAATTTACAATTTTAGAGTCTCACAATAGGATTTAATTTCACATTAACCTACTATTGTTAATTGGCGATTTTGTAAACTAAATATAATACTTACGTTGGTTGGTACTGGAACATAATGTCCGTGCACTGTTCTGGCACAGTAACTTCCCTGCAGCAAAAAAAATAAAATAAATAAAAGACAAGTCTTTTTAATGACAATTAGCATAGTAATTCTACTATCTGAAACAATTTTACTTCATATTTCTTGTTCAAGAATATATGGGAACCCACCTGCGCATGCGCAGATCATTACTTTCCGCAACTTTACGTAGTGCAAAACACTAGGATTTCTTTGCGCAGAATCCATTGAAACCTCCGCAATCGGACTTTATTCAATTTAAATTTTGGACATACTATGGTTGATTGGACCCCGGTTTTCATTCCTACCCGTCACTTTTGTAGTTGTAAATCATCTTGGTGGGATTTTTTTATCCCATTTCTCGCCATGGAACAACATGGTTTTGACGCTATCGTGAAGGAAAAGTGGCAGAAACAGCAGGGCCGTAAGGACAGCGATGCTAGCCGAACGGGCAAGGCCAAGCCAAGCTAGGCGACGCCTGAAAAAAATAAAAGCAGAAGGCAGAGCCAAGCTGTACCACTAAAACTCAGAGTAAGGCTCAAACTAGCTCGGGGATGGGGGGAGATTCTCAAATCACGACTTAAGAAATTGGAAGCCATGTTCTCTCCAGGGAAAAAACACATGGGGGCTCGGGGCGAATTAGCCCCCGAAATGCTCCAAAGAGCCCCCAAATTTTGCATAGAGTTCAATGCAAAACAAATTAAAGAGTGTTATTTTCATCAGTAGGGGCGCTGGTCCGAGAATAAGGATCGTCTTCATAAACGAGGATCGTCTTCTTTAACACTGACCGATGCGTCCTCAAAAATAAGGACCGTCTGCATTTTTGCAGACGTTTCATATTTTTGATCGGCGCATTGGCGATGCAAAAAACAGATTCTGCAATGATTTTCTTGATGCAATTTACATTGACTTTGTACAGAGACCTTCACATTATGAGCAATAAATCCTTGGGAAGACGGACAACCCATAAAAGTAGACGGACAACTAGGGTTATTTTCCCCCAGGGAATCCATTTTTGGCATCGTCAGCGGGCCGTTCTGTAACATGAAACCCCCAGAGCGCCGATGAAAAAAAACGTCCTCGAAAATGCAGACGACCCTTATTTTTGAGGACACATTTTGTCTTCGTTTATGAGGATATCCTTGTTTATGAGGACGATCCTCATTCTCGGACCAGCGCCCCTACTGTTCATGCAAGCAAGCTTGAAAAGTAGCCCCCAAAATTTGTTAAGTAATTTTTTCCCTTGGCCTAGTTCTCTCGAGTTGTAGACGTGCTCCCGGGGACTGCTATTAGCAGCCACAGCACTGATACCATTATTGAGGAGTCAATTTGTACCCGATGTGACCGAGTCTCAACCACGTGCTGGTCGGCCGAAGCAGTGTTTTTCATCGGGAGTGGTGGGCGGAAAAATACTCCAAAAAAGATAAGAAAATTGACATGAAACAGGTAACAAACAAACATATCAACTTTTAAATCATGATCTTTATTTGGTCATTTGATAAATATTTACTTCATTTTGCCGGAGTTGCGGGTCAAAGTTTGGATAGACTTCTGAACTAGCGCCGATTGTGGTATTGGCCTCCCTATCAAAAGAGACAACACACAAAACCCTATGCGTGGGATAGGCGTATAGACTCTAGGTAAACTTAAGTTTGACTTTCATAATCACACGAACATGCAAACGTTATGAGGTATATAAATTATACATTGTCCATATTGAATATTCTGAGATTGCTACCACACCAAACATTGTAGCAAATAGTACTGCTTACCGTGAGAAACACTCAAATTTCTCAAGGAACTTGCGCACCTCGACAGAAGAGAAGCCATTACGAAAGCAAGTCGTCCTAAATCAGTTCGTCCAGGCCAGGCTAGGCATTGATGTTATATATGCGCCTAATTCGACCCTGTACCACACTTCACACCCGGCCGAAACCTCTGATTATTTTACTGGCCGCGTGGGGGCTGTAATCTTGCTGTGGGTCAAGTGTAGTTTTGTTTGATTGTTTGTTTGTTTGTTCTTTTGTTTATTTATGTTTTGTTTTTTCTGTTTGCATATTTTATCATTTTGTTTGTCTTATTACATTATATTCCATTATGTTTTTGTCTGTCCTTTGGAAAGCAAAGAGTGTTTATATCTTTCACTAGAATAATGCCGCATTTTGTTAGTCTGCATAAATCCAATCACATCTCACCTACATGTACACAAATGAAACTTATATTAGGACAATTATGTAGTGTTTTGTTTTTGTATTTATATTGTTCACGGTGGTATTTTCCACTTTTCATGTATGCTAATGTTATGTAGTACTTGTATTATTCCCCCCTCCCTTCAGTCATTCACCTTTCATTCACCTTTCTCCCACCTGCTCCATGATAAAACAGAACCCACTATCCCATTACTTTTTATTATAAACAATTGACCACTAATGACCACCCAAGATTTAGATTCCAGGAACGAACCACATTCCAATAACTATGACTCATACTAGGCCCAAACCCCAGTCACTTACACTCTCCATAGCCACTCCCCATAATACCATGACAACCCTGACCATTGACCAATGATAAGCATGAATAAGTCACCCCTCCCAACATTGGTTTTCTCCCCAAACTTTCCTGAATGTAAAGTTGGAGAATGATAGGGACTTTGGTTTCAGCCGTCAACCGCTGAACAAGGATTCTACAGAGACTTGCATTTGTGAATGTGATAATTACGACAAAGTATCTATGATGATTAAAAGTTCTCGTGAATTATAACAAGAAATAGTACAGCGTCTTTCTTTATGCTCCTCGCCTCCAACAATTACTGATCCCTACACAACATGGTGGAGAACCCGGCTTCCTTTAAGGACTAACACTCATTCACCATCAGAATGAGTGTTGAGAAATAGGAGTGAAGGAGCTAGAAAACGGCTGACAGGCAATTTTAGATTTAAATTCACCGACGACAACGACCAAGGCAATCAGACCTGCCAGTTACAACTTACAAGAAGACACGGTTAATTGATCTGCCGCTACATATATGACTTCACCGACGATGACAACGACGCCGGCAAACAAGACCGCTCTACCCTGATCTGACACACATGGACACCATACAGATGACGACGACGACGGGACTGGAAGCAGCGCTTGACAACCACTAGAAGTACACATCCACGGCACCTATATCACACCATACACGACCACAGCACCACTGGACACAACTGCTGACGACGTCAATCACCACTGCAACACCAAGCTCTCGTGACTGGATAGTTGCCTCTGATGACTCTTATCTTTAATTGATTGACACTTAATTTTTTTTCTATACTTTTTTCTTGCTATAATTTTTTTCTTTTTTTCTATACTTCTTTCTTGCTTTACTTTTTTTTTCTTGCTATACTAGTTGCTAACATACTACGGAAGGACATTTAATGAATTTGTTTCCCATTCGGAATCCATTTCATTGCTGGTTGGTAAGTGAAACCATTTCTTTTATTGTTCCACTAGCGAATGAGAGCGTGTGAGTACAGGAGACTAAATGCAGTTTTTCGTTTATTTTGCGTTGTTTACATTTAAATAATTTGGTAGATATACCTAGTACTTTTGGTGTGCACCTCTATAGGTAGCCTCTCTCATTTTGAGCTCTGTAATTTGTTTCATTTTTCACCAATTTTGGTTGGATTTAGTATTTGTATTTTCAACATTGTGTTTGATATTGGTCAAGGAACAGAGGTAATCAATTTGTAAGGTGTATTTTGGTGTGAATTTGCAGTATTTCTGTTAAGTTTAATGTTTGATGTTCTTGTTCAATTTTACTGTACAGGCATGTGCATTAAGCTTTACTGGTACTTTGCTTGTATACCATTTGAATGTACTGACATTCACAATAGTCTCTTTTGTATGCTCCTTTTGTGTAAGCTATTCCTGCTTGTACAATGGATGGAAAGCCATTGAAAGTGTTGTTTTCTATAGGGCTTGTTATTTCTATTCTGTACACTTTGAACCAGCCCTATATAACCAAGGAATGTTTCACTTGTACTGGCTCACACATGAAGAGCCTCCACTGTAAACATCTCAAATATTGTAGTCAACCTATACTATACTACTGTAATTCGACAGCTACATTTCGATGTCTCCTTAATTCTGGAGATATCCAGCCCAATCCTGGTCCAGTGAATCGCACTGAGAATGTTTCCAATATTGGCCATACCAACTCACCTCCTTATTCAGCTGATTGTACAGCTTTACATATTTCATACAACTTGAATGATCTCCATCAGATTAATAACCAGCCGCTTAATTTTCTACCCATGAATGTTTGGAGCAGGATCTGCGATCTTGGCATCGGTCGCCGACGTCGAACTCATCGCGGACGTGGGCGGCGTACGATACCAAGGCCGGATTTCCCTCCACCAATGTCGGTATCATCCAATAGCCTTAAACTTGGCCTTTGGAATGCACGTTCCATGACCAATAAAACACACGCAATTACTGATTTGATTGTTGAAAATGATCTAGATGTTCTAGTCATCACCGAGTCGTGGCTCTCTGGAGACAGTAAGAGGGATGGTCTCATATTAGCTGATCTAAGATCTGGTTTGCCTAATTATGATTTCACCCATCGACCCCGGTTATCTTCCAAGGGCGGTGGGATTTTGCTTCTCTATAGATCCACGGCTCGCTGTACCTTGAACAACAACAATGATTTTGCATCTTTTGAATTACTGGATGTCACACTCAATCTGACACCTTCATCTGTTGTAAGGTTGTACTGTATTTATCGACCACCCCCGTCTGCCAATAATAATCTCTCCAACGGCACATTCTTGGATGAATTTCCAACTCTCCTTGAAGGTGCTGTTGTAGATGATCATTTTCCTCTATTATTGGGTGATTTCAACATACATGTTGATGATCCCAATGATAATTTTGCAAAAGCTGTTATGACATGTGTTGATTCGTTAGGGTTCAAGCAACATGTTCGTGAACCAACCCATCGCGCAGGTCACACTCTAGATTTGATTTTCACAAGGAATTCGGATGATGTCTGCAACGTGAACTCGCTATCTTCCATGCCTTCCGACCATTGTGCACTTGTCACCACTGTCAATATCGCAAGGCCGAAGAATCCCAAGAAAGAGGTTTCCTTCAGGAAATATCGCAGCATTGACAAGGACTCTCTACGCAACTCTATTGACACAATGTTCCATTCACTTCCTGATCTATCTTGTCCATCTGCTTCCGCGGAGCATTACAACTCATCTTTGCGGACGTTAATTGATGAGCACGCTCCAATCCAGGTCAAGACTGTATCAATCAGACCTGATGCGCCATGGTTTACTGATGATATCCAGGAAGCCAAGAGGCGAAGGCGTCGTGCGGAACGTCGTTCGATCAAGTCTGGACTTTTTGTTGATAGAGAGCTGTACCGCCGTGAATGCGAGTCATACTATGAGTGCATCTTCAATGCGAAGTCAGCGTATCTCAAAGATCTCATCAAGAATGCTGACACTAAAGAACTGTTTCGTCTTGTGAAGACACTCTCAACGCCCACTCAATCTTCACCTCTTCCAGATCATTCTTCTGATAGTGAACTCGCCAACAGATTTGCTACATTCTTCAGGGAAAAAGTCGCCAAAGTTGTATCCTCTTTCCCTAATGTAGTACCAGCACCAGCTTCAAGATCTTCTGCTCCAGGCCCTCGTCATGAACTCTCTGATTTCTGCCTTGTATCCCTCTCACAAGTCAGGAAGCTCATCACTTCACTTCCTTCTAAACACTGTAAGCTAGATCCGATTCCTACCTGGCTTCTAAAGGAAGTCCTCGATGAACTCCTTCCTCACATAACCAAACTGTTCAATCTCTCGTTATCATCCGGAATAGTTCCAGAGTCTTTTAAGACTTCTCTGCTTCTTCCCCTCCTAAAGAAGCCGAGTCTCGACACGAATGGACTTAAGAACTACAGGCCCATCGCAAACCTGCCATTCCTTGGGAAGGTTTTGGAACGTATTGTGTCACTACAGCTGAAAGCCCACATTGACAATCTCGGTTTGTTTCCAATCCACCAATCTGCCTATCGGAATCATCATTCTACTGAGACTGCAACTGTCAAGGTCCTAAATGACCTACTTCTAGCTGTAGATAAGGGTAATGAAGCTGTCCTCATCTTGCTTGATTACACTGCCGCATTTGACACTATCAACCACGACCTGTTACTCCATCGCTTAGAGAACGACTTCTCCATCACCGGCACCGTACTTCAATGGATTCGCTCCTATCTCATGCACCGAACTCAGAAGGTGATCATCAATGACACCAACTCGGAATCATTTCCCCTCATCTGCGGCGTTCCTCAGGGTTCCGTGGTCGGCCCCCTCCTGTTTATTCTTTACACCAGCCCTCTCTCAAATGTTATTAACCTCCATCAGAATATTCAACACACTATGTATGCAGACGACACCCAGATTTACGTAACTCTTCACCCAAACAGCAGGACAGTAGCCGCGAACAAACTCACCAGTTGCCTCAATGAAATCAAAACCTGGTCTTTTCAAAACTGTCTCTGCCTTAATGATTCAAAATCTGAAATGATTCATATTACTTCTAAATTTCGGAACTCAGACCCCTTTCCTGATCTTGTTATGAGTGATGGCTCTCTCAGTTGTTGTGCTTCTGTGCGTGACCTTGGTTTAAACATCGACAGCAATCTTACTTTCAAACAACACATTAGTAATATTTGTAAGTCTGCTTCCTTTGGTATATATAAGATCAGTAGAATCAGGAGGCTACTTGACCGACCCACAACTTCAAAATTAGTCCATGCTTTTGTCTCGACCCATATCGATTACTGTAATTCTTCTCTTTCTGGCCTCCCTCAGTCACATCTAGTCCCACTTCAAAGGGTACAGAATAGCGCTGCTCGGCTTGTGACTCTCTCGCGTAAATCAGAGCACATAACTCCAATATTGAACTCACTACATTGGCTTAAAATTCACCACCGCATATCCTTCAAAATTCTTCTCCTGTGCTACAAAGCTATCAATGGCTTAGCCCCCTCTTACCTTTCCGATCTCATATCCTTACGTTCCCGTACGTCGTCACGAACACTTCGTTCATCTTCCACATTACTGTTAACACCTGGACCCCGCACTAACACCCGGTATGGTGACCGCGCCTTTTCAGTTATTGCCCCCGCTCTCTGGAACAAACTGCCCGCCTTTATTCACTGCGCCCCCTCTGTATCTCAATTCAAATCTCTACTCAAAACCTATCTTTTCAAATTGTAAATTGCAGTTGTGCGTCGGTCAATGGAGGTGCGCACCATATTTGTCTTTATTTAGTTGATTGCCACTGTTTTTCTTACCTTATCTATGTTACTTTTGTATTTTTGCTTTTTCTTCTAATTTAATTTTACGGGTTATAGTCTTCTCTTAATCAGAACACTGTGCGCTTAGAAACATCAGTATTAAGCGCCTAATAAATGTTATGTATTATTATTATTATTAGTATGCTATTTTATGCTATATCTATGATGATTAAAAGTTCTCGTGAATTATAACAAGAAATAGTACAGCGTCTTTCTTTATGCTCCTCGCCTCCAACAATTACTGATCCCTACACAACACTAATTGCCATATTATATTGTAGTATTAGCATAGCCTATAGGTTTAGAGAATCATTCCTATTTATCGTTATACATTTGTATTGTTGTTTTGTTGTATTCTGTTTTCTTTGTATTATTATGCTTAGCTAAGTTTGTATTCTTTATTATGTATCATTATCATGACATGTAAATGTGTTGTACTCTCATACCCCAGAAAGGGGTCGCAAGAGTCAATAAATTGTATTCTATTCTACACCAAAAAAACTAAATTCTTCAAAGTGTGCTAGAGTTACCAGGCGCGTAGCCAGGGGGGGGGGGGTGGTGGGGTTGTCTCTCCCCCCCCCCCCCAAAAAAAAAAAAAAAAAAAAACGCCGGCCAAAAAAAAAAAGAGAGAGAAAGAGAAGAAAAAAAGTAAAAGGACGTAGGAAGAAAAAGGGAAAGGAGTCGAGAACGGTACAACGAATCGTCTTCTTTCTCAAATAATTTAATGAAACGTCAAAGCTTCCGCGCTTTGCGCGGAACGGGCGAAATTGAGTTAAAATTAAGGATTAAGAGCCGAGAACGGAACAAAGAATCGTCTTCTTTCTCTAATAATTTAATGAAACGTCAAAGCTAATTCCGCGCTTCGAAAGAGGGGGACTGAATACAGATAAGGATTAAGGGTCGGGAAAGGTACAACGAATCGTCTTCTTTGTCTAATAATACGTCAAAGCTTCCGCGCGCTATGCGCAGGAGGGGCGGACTGAATTCAGACAAGGATTAAGAGTCGAGAACGGTACTTCGAGTCGTCTTCTTTCTCTAAAAATTTAAAGAAACTTTAAAGTTTTCGCGCTGTGCGCGGGAGGGGAGGAAACTGAATTCAGATAAGGATTAAGAGTCGAGCCTCGAATCGTCTTATTTCTCTAATAATACGTCAAAGCTTTCGCGCTATGCGCAGGAGGGGGGGAGCTTCCGCGCGAACTACCCCCTCCCTGCACCCACCTTCTAAGGAGGCGTTTAATTACGGTCAGATGAGCATTTGTTAATACCTTATTATTTTGTGACACTGGCAGTTCACTATTTTTTCTTTCTTGCTCTCTTTCTTTCTATTTCTCTTTAATATACTTTTTCAAAAAAGTGAGGGGGAGGGAGCTCGAGGCTCCCGATCATTTGAGGCCGCCATCCTTGTCAAGCTTTACTTATGACTGCGGTCTCCTGCACTTTTCCAACATAATAGTTCGGTTAATACTTTAAATTTATGATTATAAATTATGTTATGGAAATAGTTTCGCTATTATATGTACATATTATTATGTAAAAAAAAACATTTTGACATGAAGAAATTATTGTTTATTTATGTTGTATTATACCTTACATTTATATGTTCTTTGTTATTCAGTTATATTTTATATGGAAAAAATGCAGAAATAAAATAAAAACAATTAAAAAAAATCACCGCCGTTCCGCGGGCCCTGACATAATGGGCATCTCAATAAGCATATTTCTTGCCTGACTGTAAATTTAGGAATTTATCATTTTCCACAAAGGTCAGGTTTCATTAGTCTGCTACTGGTAACATGTAAAATACCTGTTCCATGGTCGAGCAACAGGCGACTAAACCGCCCCCCCCCCCCACCCCCAAAGAATCTCCTCTTAAACACACACACAAAAAAGATACTAGTAATAGACAGGAATCGAAGAGATTTTAATGATTTTATTTTGGATGGAGAAAAAATTGCTGAAGTCCAGGATTTCATATACCTGGGATCACTTGTTAGCGCTAAAGGATTAAGTGAGAAAGAAATCAAAAGGAGATTAGTTATAGCAAGGAATGCAACTCAGAAAATGGTGAAGATCTGGAGAAGCCGGGGAATAAATAACAGTTTAAAGTTAAAGATAGCACTGACATCTCTATTTCCCATTGCTACATACGGAAGCGAGACATGGGCCATGACCAAAAGAGATGAAAAGAGAGTAGATGCGTTTGAAATGTGGGTGTATCGGCGAATACCGAGGGTTCCCTGGACAGACAGAAGAACAAACCGAAGGGTACTGGACAAGCTGGATACAGAGATGTTGCTCAGAAAGAGTATTGCCAGAAGGAAACTGCAGTTTTTTGGCCATGTAGTAAGGAGAGACGGTCTTGGAAAGTCCCTTATAACAGGAACAGTGGAAGCCAGGAGAAGAAGAGGCAGACCTGCTATTTCCTGGTTCAAAGATATCCACATATGGACAGGGAAAAAGCTGTCAGAGGCAACAAGAGCAACAGCTGACAGAGAAGGATGGCGTAAACTTGTGGTGGCCACAGCAGCGCAGCTAGCGCCACCTGACTGAAGAAAGAAGATCATTTTCCAACAAACGCATAAAAAAATATAATTTACTAAAAAGTGAGGAAAAATCTCGGAAAATTATGTCATTTCAACAACATTTGTAAATAAACCACGTTTGAATTGTACCCCCCCAAGGCCCCCTCCCCTATAAGTACTCCAGTGCCCCCCCCCCCCCCCGCCCTCCCCCCGATCTACACCTTGTTGGCAGGAAAACTAAGGGGGAGGGTGCGAGGTGCAAGGGGCATCTTCCTGTTCTCTCTTTTAATTTTTTTTCCCCTCTGGCTCGTAATGTTGTGAACCGGAGCAAAATAACACAGAGTTCCAATAAGAAATCTATTTATTCAGATGGTCATATCTCAGCCAATACTCAACATATTCAATTGATTTTCGACATTTGTACATTAGTTTTGATGCTCTTTCGGAAAATGAAGTTGAAATTGAGAAATTCTCAAAATAGTTTTTTGATGACGTCACACTTTACCACTTTATAGTTTCAGTTTCAGTTTTTATTTTTCATTTCCAACAGAACAGTAATCTTGACAAGATATCAGATATACAATTCAACATTTAATAATATAATACATTTTACATGGTTTAAAGTTGTGAAATAGAAAGTATACATAAATATCCAGTATAATGGGTTTGTAAATTTTCTTTTTTAAAGATAAACCTGTGGAAATAGAGGGATTCACTGAAAAGCAGAGTTTGTAAAATGTGGGTCCCTCAAAATAATGACAAACATAATTTTTTAACATGTAAATATATCGACTTGAAGAAAAGAAAAAAATTACATATATACATATATATATAATTATATAGACCAGGGATTCTCAAACTTTTTCCTTGACGGTCCAGATGTGATTTTCCATGAACACTAAAAGGTCCGGAAAATGTGCAAATTGAGTTTACTTCATCAATTATTTCCAAACATATAAGTTTGTGATTTTGCATAAACGTGTCTCTATCTGATATAAGGGGGAATTGTGACTGTTTAATCCTAAAAAGGCCTGGTTATTTTGGTAGATCTCTCAGCCGGGGGGGGGGGGGGGTGCCTCTCTGGTGGAATTTTCTTTTACGAGGAATTTTGAAAGAGTATTCCAAACAGAATAAGATTTTTGACTCTACATAGTGCCCATGCCACCGTTTGGTAGAAATTATAAAAATGTGGTATCAAAAGATAGGGGACCGGGGTGGATTCGGCCCTAGACCCTATTTAGGCCAGAACAAACAAACAAAATCAGAGCCACAATCCGGACCGCGGTGAGCGCGGTTCAAACAGATCTATATAGGGCAAGCTATTGTCAGAATTTGATCGATCAAGTTTGAGGCATGAGGTTCCGGAGGATGAGTATCAGCAAGGGCAAGTTGTCCTTTACTCATATCCCAAGCATCCAGAAAATGTATCTTTGGATAAGACTTGAGGATGCGTCTCAGGGCTTCTTCATTGTCTCGCGCGTAGTGCTCATTTAAGTACTGGCTCCTCGGCCCGTAAGGATTTTGGGTATTTCCACCCTTAAACATGACAACTGCCGTGGGGTTTCTGTTGAGTAGCCTCCGGGCGGCATCAGCAATGGACTTGATCCGCTGCTCGTAAAACGACCTGTAAAGAGGTTGAAAATGTGACCAGAGACATATGACAACGACAACGGTCTCATTAGACCCGATGCGGTCCAGTTCATTTGTAATGAATCGAAGGGTAGCTAATTTATACCATTGAAAGTTGCGTATAGGAATGTTATGGAAGCTGTAATTCAAATGAATGTCATATTCAGATACGTATATGCCAACAGGAGCAATCCAGTGCGCTTCGCGGTATTTGGCCCCAATTAATGTTTTGGCCAATTTAGAATACACTTGTCTGATGGTCGAATCGCCATAAAAGTAGATCTTCTTGTTAGCCAAACATTTCTGTACCTCGTCTCTGGTGAAGTGGTTCGCTTTGCAAGTGCATGGGAGGAAACCAACGTTTATTCCGGTAGAAGCCCGTCACCCATGGTATAACTTGAAGGCGGTCATGCTGTTGGCCACACACTGGTAGACGATCCACTTGTTCATTTATAAAGTCACCAGATTCGCCGTTTACTGTCACGTGATTGGGATGGCCCACGATTGGAGCTGCACGGCTATAGAGGAAACATGGAGGAAAAGGACAAATAAATGGAGAGTTAATTTGAAAGGGAGGGGTGGGGACACGGCTCTTAATTGTCAGCTTTCCCAGGATAAAAAGAAAAAAAGGAGACACCATCCTGCGTCTCGATAAAGTGTCTTCCACTGACTGTATCTGCTTTCGACAAGTCAAAATCTTGGGTCTCGATACACTTTCGTTCACATGGACAAGGGCAAGAAGACAAAATGCGAAGAAGTGTGATCTTTTCTTGCCAAAACGAAAGTAAACTTGACATAAGTATTTCTTGTCTTTAAAGTGTTCCCCTATAGGCCGTCGTGAAACCATGCCCATAAACTCCCACACGGCATGGTTTATCGTGATCAATACTGTATAAAGGAACTAGAATTTTAACATAAACTGAAAGTATTCCCTGATATTAGGTTAGTATTAATAAACGTACACAACAATGAGAGGAACGAGTCAGTGAAAGCTTGAGCAAAATCCGCTTAAAAGTAATAAAGTTGTGAATTTTTTAATGCGCATCAATCAAACACAAATTGGAAACTATGTGACCTTTCTTGCGAGGTCCCCTCCCATTTCAAATCACTGTACTAAAAGTCTTCAACAATCTATATTTTCCCTGAAGGAAATTTTTGAATCTTAAATACACCCAAAATATAATTACTGCAAATATGTTTTATGCAACCCCTGTATGACACAAATCTATTCCGTCATCAATCAATGAGAAAATGAAAGGTTATTGAATTCTCTGTACATGCAAAGCAAATTGGAGAGGAGCTCGCAAGATACGTCACAGTGTTGCCAATTTATGTTTCAGTGATTATCATCTCGAAACTTCATAACTTTCCTATTTTAATCGTATATTGCTTGCTCTAACTTTCACTTATTTGTTTCTCTCATTTTTCTGCCCAACTCGATATGAGGGTGGGCTTCCCCTTATGAAGAACAAAAAATGCCCAAACTGTGATTGCACGTACGAGAACCCAGCGTTTAATCGCAGAGGGTTAAAGGACACGTGTCATCATACTCATACATCACACAAGTGAAGTTTCAGACCAATGGAAGCTTTTTAAGGCAAAATATAGTTTGTCTATTGGGCGGCAACACTGATCATGCGTGTCCATGACAAGCCGTTTTAACATTTATTCCTATTTCTTGATATCAAGAATTCAATTCTTGAAATCAAGAAATGATTTTCTGGTGTAAAGAAATGGTAATTACTTTCCTCAATGTATAATGTATAATGTGTGTTCCACTTTGTCTGTTTTCACTCTGTTGTTTACTCTAATTTCGGAAAAATATCTACTCTTTTGATGCCAACTGGAAATTGCTTTTGTTAGAATCGCTTGGTGAAGAGATGTAAACGAGAATATTATTTTTCTAGATTTAATCGTGACAAAAGTAATATTAAGGCAACTTGTAAAACCATAAATCATATTTTAATGAAAGTGCAATGTGATTTTATTGAACAAAATGGTATACAGATACATGATAAGCAGGCCATTGTCCAAGCATTTAAAAACTTTTTTAGCACTATTGGTAGGGACACTGTAAATAGTATACCTGATGCCTCCGTTGATTTCTTACATTTTTTTACCTAAAAGGGACTTTTCGAAGTCTATATTTATGAAACCAGTTGAGATTTCTGAAATATTTGAAATTGTTAAAAAACTTGAATCATGTAAAACCCCAGGATATGATGATGTTAATATTACCGTTCTAAAGAAATCTAATGCTACATCTGTTATACCGCTTTGTAATTTATTCAATATCGATTCTGTCTGTACAAGTTGGTGTCTTTCCTACTGCTCTCAAAAAGGCTAAAGTAATTACTGTGTACAAAAAAGGAGATAAAAATATTTAAAATAATTATAGACCGATATCAGTTTTATCTACCTTCTCAAAAATCTTTGAAAAGCTAGTTTATAGTTGTCTATTTTCCTTGTTATGTAAAAGACATATATTATACCATAAACAGTATGGGTTTAGATAAAATTACAGTACACATATGGCTCTTTTGGATTTTACGAATATTATTGCTAAATCATTTGAAGATTAAAAAAAAGTTGTTATTGGAATATTTTTAGATCTTACCAATTGAAAGTATTCGATTGTATAAGTCATTAAATATTATTACAAAAATTACCATTTTATGGTATTCGGGGTTCTGTACTTAAGTGGTTTTCCAGTTATTTAAATAATAGAGTACAATATGTATGTATACATAATTTATCTTCTGAGATTGAACATAACCCATTTGGTGTCCCTCAGGGATCAGTATTGGGTCCGTTATTATTTTTAATGTATATTAATGATATTCAATTCGTAAGTGATATGTTACAGTCGATAATTTTTGCAGATGACACAAGTTTATTTTTGTCTGGTAAAAATATTAATACATTTTGTTTTTTTTTGTTTTTGTTTACTAACATAGCACTTACCGATGAACTACAGACGATCTCCTGCTGTAACCTTCGTCTTCAATCCTTTTGTTGAACTGCCATTCAAGTGTCTTAAACGCCGTCCAATCAGAGCAAGAGAGAAGGCTTGAATTAGGTTTCTGACAGTACCATGTTAATCCCACATAAGGATTAGATAGGTTGCATATCGACGTCTATATTAGGTGAGAACACACACACCATAATATAGTAACGGAACAATTCATATATAGGGTAGGTGTAGGGAATTGGAGACCACCAAGCTTGAACACATCACTGTCTGTCCGTGTTGGCTTCAATATTGCTATAGAGCCATCTGTGGCCTTTAACAACACTACTGCATATATCCAATTCATTTCGAAGACTAAAATGCGTTCTTTCTCAGAGAAAATTGGCAAAATTGACCAAGGTAAGCAATTTTTATCGTAAAATTTTGCTCTGATATAAAAACACAATTTTCACTGAATGTTGTGGTGTATGCAGATATTTAGAGGTGGCTCTTAACAAGTAGTTTTAAAAGGAAGTTTATGAAGTGTGTCAACCATCACAGAAAACTTATGGCCATTGTGTGTTGTGAATGGGTGTTGCAATGCACATTATGAATGGTGTCTGATCAGAAATGTGTGCAGGCAATGGGGGACACCAGGTCCAAGATGGGGGTCGTTTGTTGTGAATGTCGAGTATGCCAAGGACAGTAAATGACCCGATGCTGGTTGGTTAATTGTCCATGTATAGAAATATTTTGGGCTACATTTGATTTATTTATTTCTGTTTGATTTCTTTTTCTTTTGCCCTATTACATAATGATACGAATATGATGGAACAAATATTTGTAAAAGGGGAAAGAGAGAGAGAGAGAGAGGGAGATTAAAAAAGAAAGAGGGGGTGTATATCAAGATTCACAGATGTATGTGGTGCAATGTAGTTGGATTTCAATTTAATATATGAAGAATATTGGGTGGCCAACTTGGAATGTATTATAGAATGAGACTAACAAGGTTTCTGGACAATATGAATAACAAATGTGAGATTAGCAAGCTGGTTTATATAGACTGTAAACCTTTGTATACAAAACAGGTTTTGGAGTATCCCAAGTAGGCCATATTGTTTTAAAATCGTTTACAAATTACAGTAAGTTCATTGGCTGCATAACTATAACAATCCCATTTTCATTCAAATTGTACTTAAAATGTCCTGATTTGTAACTGTCCCTTATCACCTGCACATGTAGGTAATGAGAGACCTTTTGTGATGACGTCACTAATCATTGTTATCTTCTTAATCAGTTACATCATGACCACAATTTTGTTACCAAATAAAGAGAAGAAGTTACTGAAGAAAATACAAAACTTTCTGTATGTGTAACATTGTTCATGTTTATGTAAATTATGCAAATGTGTTTAAGGGTCTCCAATTCCCTACACCTACCCTATAGCATTATACACGATCGCATCTACTTTCGAGAAATCAACTCAAGGGTAATATGTATATGTCGTATATCCTATAGAAATCGTTACGATTTACATCATAGTAATGTTCACCCATTTCTAAAGGTGATTAACAAGACTATCGATATTGCCATAAGTTGAATTTCCTAAGTGATTGCGCTCGTGATTTTTTGGAAAACGTCTCAACGCGCTTAGGAAAAAGTAAGAAACAAAATACAAATAGAGAGAGCTGCAGGAAACGGTCTTTGGCTAATGAATACAAATATCAATTGAATATATATGTTTTAAGAGCAATATTGAATTCTTGAACTATCTAAGCTTGCAGACATTACGAGGGATACTATTCCATAACTCAGGGGAACTAAGCCCAAAAACCCGTTCAACATAACTCTTTGTTTTGATCACCTGAACACAGGTACTACAAATATATTTTTCTGCAGTGTCCTTAGATTTCTTACCGGTTCATATTCTGTAACTCTGAGCCATGTCATAAAAACATTGAAAAGCTCACAGCAAGATGTTAAACTTAATACGTGATCTGATCCGGGGGGGGGGGGGCTATTAGCAGGGCCGTAGCCAGAGATTGATGTTTGGGGGGGGGGCACATACATGTAATTGATCGACGTGGCTACGGGCCTGCGGCTATTAGGACATACGGGGGTGTGCCGCTCTAATGGGTGAATTTTTCGCACACAAAAAATCCTTAAACATGGGTCCCACTTTTAACAAAAATACCATTAAAAATGGGTACGTTTTATCAAAATTTCAAAAAAATTGTAAATTTTCGGGTGTTTTTGCTTAGAAGAACACCCCAAATAATGGAAAATGGGTATTTCTTCGAGAAAATTGCCCTAAAATGACCCCTAATAATGGGTAGAGTTTACGAGGCTTGAGCGGCACACCCCCCGGGATCTGATCGGTAACCAGTGTAAGATTCTTAAAACCGACGATATGGATTCATGGGTTTATTGTTTTGTTCTTGTCACAAGTTTTGAATACATGGTCAAGAGACTCTCGTAATTCCTCAGTGACAAACCGAGAGCGTGTGGACAACCTAATTTTAAAACCCAATTTCTGCCCCATGGCATTATCGTCTTCTTCTCCTGGCTTGCAAGAAGGTTTCGCTTTTTTGGAAGATTGTATCCAAATTAATTAAAACTTTGTTTAATTTTAAAATCCTTTTGAACGAAGAAATTCTTTTAATAGGTTATGAAATAGAGAGAAGAGAAATGAATCTAGTCAATCTTATTTTAAACTTCGCTCAGTTTATTATCTATAGAAACTATATTAGAGAATTTTTTGGAAGTGAAAAGCACAGGAAACATGCTGTATATTTGATAAAAGAATTAAAGGTGGAAATTCGCACCTATCTCAATATGAAATGTAATCAAAAGAAATTTGATACAAACGAAGTTACAAAAGTTAAACAAATGTTTTCATTATTTTGGTTAGTGATTATGTCACATTAGTTTCATGTTCTGTACTATGTATAATATGTTACAATTGCATGAATTTTGTATTTAAACACTGTTGTAAATAGCTGTTTTTTATATGAACAAATAAAGTCCCTCGAAAGAGGATAAATAGAAAAAAAATTATCGTCTTCTGCCCCTTTCAAATTTGATACCCCGCAGATTAAAAAATTAAAGATAGATGTAAGATACACCTACAAAATGTTTGTTTTTCTGAATTATGTATTTCATTCATTTATTTTTGAGGGGGGAGGGTAAATAAGCACTGTTAATAACCTATAAATGTAATTCCCACCTTCCTCTTGTATTTGATTTGATTTGTTTTATATTTATTCATGTATTCATTTTTTTTATTTATTATTTATCCATTTTTTTTTTGCTTCTTACAGGTTTTCGGGAATAGTTCAACCCTCTTTTCACACATTTTTAATTCTCCCTAGCTCTTTACTATATTAATATAACAGCACGCAGTCTAGTGAAAAAGATAGGACGCTAAATATCGCTATCTTGCCAACCCCGACCCCAAACAAAACAGGTTCATCGCTACCTAGCTAATAGACCGGTTTAATAACATATTCAAATTCATGGATGTTTCTTTCCTGGGGACCTAGTGACGAGGTATTCCATTAAACTGTTATATCGATGAATGAACAACAATACTTTGATTTTCGTTTGAATACATAACATGTTGCCAGCCTCGGGCAAGTTTTTAAGATGCCAAGAACCACATTATTTAACGGAAAAGTCTCTCCTCACCATTCCACAAATAAATACTAAATTCTACGGGTCTCGCCCTTTTCAAGTTGCATCGGCCAAACTTTGGAATAAATTACCGGGAAATCTAAAAACTGTGATACTGTTGACAACCATAAGGCGCGTCTTAAAACATTTCTTTTCAAAAATACTTTCCAATGTTAACGAGAGGAAGTATGTTGAGCATATTTCTCTCTTCTTATGTTAATCTATCCACCTTTCCTTCTTACTCTTTCTTACAGCGCATAAAGACATATTGTGATATGCGCTTTATAAGTACGGCATATTATTATTAACATTTGTTTAAAAAATAGACAAAATTTGAATGTTAGTAAACATATTTATCATTCCTGAATAAATTAATATTCATTTTCCCGCTCCACGCGAGGCTTCATTTCGATTGCGTCATGACCTGAAGCTTAGTTTACACAGACAAATTATTCAACGCAATGACTGCTTCACTATGTCTTGATGTCGCAATCCAACGTCAAGAATTAGGGAGTTTTAGATTTACACGACGAGAACGTGGACCGCCACGTGTCACATCCTTTTATGGAAATGTGACGTCCTATTAATGCACTCCTGGGCACGGCCCAGTGCCTTAACACAATGTCACACGCGGCATTCCGCGCTCTCGTCGTGTAAATCTAAAAGTCCCTAATGACGCTTCGTGTGCAACGGGGATAACAAAATAATGCTCAATGAATTACCAATCTGTCAACGGGCACGTGGCCACATCTCACTTCTTCTGCTACATCTTTTCCACCTATCTTCTTGCTGAATTTCCCCAGATAATTCTCACGAGGCTGCAATGTTTCCTTCAGGTTTTGTAGTTCGAAAACAGCTTCACTCGGGACAACCAAAGTGACATTGATACGGATAGTCCCGGCCCACTTTAGAGTGAAGAAGGCGCTATAACTCCCATTGCCAAGGTCAAGGACTTCACCATCTGTCCCCGAGCCTGCAATAAAGGACCCGTTTTGAGTGAAGATCTTGCTACGAAATAAATCTCCACCGTAAGTCTTGGGTTCATCGTAGCCGTTCCGTGCTTCGATTAAGAGTTCGAGTTGGTCGCATACGGAATACGATTCCTTGTCATTGACGATGGTGAATCGGCTAAAGGTACTGTTTGTCGTGTCCATATGTGTAATCCATTGCCTTGGTGTAGCGGGGGGATACGAGAAATGGGGAAAATTTCTCAGTTTCCGATTCGCACATAAAGGATGATTATGCGAAGTTTCAGGTTCAGCAGGTGATGTGTTATACAGGTTGCACGATTTCATCCCCTATAAAAAAAATAAAATAAAAAAAAATCATGTGTAAATTCATCATGGGGAACAACAGGGTAAACTTGGAAACGAATCATGACTAGAAAGTTACACATTTATTGTACCTAGAGGCGGTGCTCCGGGGGGGGGGCTTAGTGCCCCCACTTTTTCAAGTTCCCCAAAAGGTTCCCTTTTTACATAGGAAAAGTGCCCCCTTTTACTTTGAAAAGCGCCCCTATTAATTTGTAAAAGTGCCCCTTCCCCTTTCCACCTCTTATAAGTGCACCTTTTATTTTGACACGTACCACTTTTCCTCTGCAAAAATTGTCCATTTTCCATTCTCATAAGTGCCTTTTTTAATCTCTAGTAATTTTTGATAAGTGCCCCCATCACCTCTGATAATTGCCCTTGATTCAAATCTGAGAGGTTCCCCTTTTGCTTTGAAAAGTTCCCCCTTGTCCTTTGTAAAAAGTGCCCCTTCCCCTTTTAATAACTACCCCTTTTTTTTACTCGGATAAGCGCACCTTATACTTTTACATGTGCCCCTTTTCCTTTTGAATAAATGGCCCCTTTTCCTTATGATAAGAGCCCCCCCCCCCCCCATCTAAAAAGAGCCCATTTCCCTTCTCATAAATGCTTCTTTTTATCTATGAAAATCTCATCCTCATAAGTGCCCCTTTCATCTCATGTAAATGACCCTATTCAATTATGAGAGATACTCGTTTTACTTTGACAAGTGCCCCTTCTCCTCCTGATAAGTGCTTTTTTCATCTCTTATAAATGCTCCTTTTATTTTTGACACGTCCCCCTTTTCCTTCCTAAGAAATGCTCCTTTTCCTTCTAATAAGTGCCCCTCCCCCTTCTCATAATTACCCCTTTTCATATTGATAAGTGCCCCGTTTATTTTAACATGTGTTTCTTTTTCTTTTTAATAAGAGCGACTTCCCACTTTTCATAAAAGCCCCCTTTCACCTCCGATAAATGCCCCTATTAAAATCTGATCGGTACCCCTTTCCTTTAAACAGATGCACATTTCCCTTAATCATTAGTGCCCCTTTTGCATTTTCATAAGTGCCTCTTTTCATGTATGGTCAGTGCCTTTTTTCAGATGCGATAAGTGCCCGTTTTCACCTCTGATAATTACCCTTTTTACAATGAAATGTGCCCCTGTTTCCTTTCTAATAAGGAACCTATTCCGTTTTCATAAATCCTTTTTTTCACTTCTTATAAATGCCCTATCAAAATCTGATGGGTGCCTCTTTTCCGTCGACAAATGCCCATTTCCCATTCTCATAAAATCCCTTTTTATCCCTGGTGCGTGCCTTTTTTTTTAGGTGTAAGAAGTGCCCATTTTCACCTCTGATAATTAACCTTTGTACTTTGACATGTGCTCCTTTTCTTTTCCAATAAAACTTGTCTTAACCCTTTTGATAAGTGTCCCCTTTTCCTCTCATCATTAAACGTGCCCCTAATTTCAAGCGACTAAGAGTAAGAGCAATTTCCCCCAAAGCTCGCTCGTAGTTATAGATGTTATAATTATGTTACTTATCAAAGGTCTTTTCAGTCTTTAAGTTATGAGAATGCGCTTATAACCCCATCAGGATTGGCTTTTTCCTCTTTATAAGATTTAATTTTTCGCACTGCGACCTCACAAATCTTTAAAATTGCGCTCGCTCGCAAATTAAAGATAAGCTCTAGTTCTGGTAATGGTGAAAAAAAACAACATTAAAACAGTTTCTATTCAAATTCACACCAATTGTTAAGCAATACAAATAAATGACTCTTGCTAAAGGAATTTGAATGAAATTGTGTAATTGCAGAGAAAAAAGCAAAATAAGCATCGATTTATTCAACGGTAGGGGTTGGTACAAACCGAATTCAAAATTACGAATATGTCTGTTTAGCTCCCTCTTTCGGCAGCAACTCGATATAGTCCTCTCGGTTGGCGATCACAGAACTGTGTTGGCGATTCATTCACGCCGAAAAGCCAACTCACACACAGAAAACGCTCTACTGAAAACTTCCGCATCACAATAAGTTGGTGTGACTATACTTACATTTCTTCAGCTACCGTAAATTGCACATGCAGTGAACTAGTATTCATTATTGCTTAGGACGTTATGGCTTATTGAAACAAACTTACGCTCAAAACGATGTGGGGGAGAAAGAGAAAGAGAGAGAGAGAAAGAGAGAGAGAGAGAGAGAGAGAGAGAGAGTGGGTATTTGGGCGGGGGGGGGGGAGGGGGATGATCGGAAAAATAATTGAATTGCCTCCTTTTTTCAACACTGCTCTTCCATCTCAAAACTTATTTGTGAATCGTATCATCCTTTTATTTTGAAGAGGAGTTCATTCTCTCGTGTTTCAATAAATCAACGCATAGACCTATATTACACTCATTTGTTTTAATTATCAACATCATTTGATGATGGTAAATATTGCTTAGGAATTGTCCTTGACTTGTCAAAGGCATTTGACACCATTAACCACTCTATCCTACAAAGAAAGCTTGAGCACTATGGTGTACGTGGAATAGCATTAACTTGGTTTAAAAATTACCTATGTCATCGAACTCAATATGTTGTGGTCAATGGTGTCAAATCCCAGACTACTGTCATGCAGTATGGTGTACCACAAGGATCAATGCTTGGTCCTCTGCTATTTTTAATTTATATCAACCATGTTATCAATTCGTCAATTTTATTTACATACTCACTATTTGCAGATGATACTAGTTTGATGTTATCCCATAAAAATATTGTTACTTTAATGGCAATTGCAAATGATGATATTAAAAAATTGTTTGCATGGTTTTGCTGCAATAAGTTGTTGCTAAATATTCAAAAGACAAACTGTGTTATTTTCAGATCCAGGGGTAAACGAATTCCAAACAATGTTGATCTTCTGGAGGTAGGAGGTCATAGAGTAGCGCGAAGTGAGCATGTTAAATTTATAGGTGTTATTATAGATGAGTACTTGTCTTGGACTCCCCATTTGGATGCTATAGGCACACAGATTTCGCGAAGTGTTGGTGTCATATGTAGGTTAAGATTTATCCTACCTAAGAATGTTTTGTTAATTTTATATAACAGTGTTGTTCTCCCTTACCCTACGTATTGCAATGTTGCATGGGGTAACACTTTCAAGACTTATATTGATAAACTTAAAATATTGCAAAAGAAAGTTATTCGGCTTGTTACCAATTCTAACTTCAGACAGCCTAGTAAGCCATTATTCCTTGAGATGAAATTGTTGCCTTTAGATGAGCTTGTGTCATTCAGTAGTATGATTTTCGTGTTTAAACTTAAGTTTTGTCATCAGGCTTGCCTGTTAACGATACACAGTCCAGATTCGCGTACAGCTAGTGTAAGGGTCAATGGCACTAATGTCCTTTGGCAAGGCATTAATCTAAATTTGACGCACTCGACCCAAAAGTAGTAAAAGGGTAAACCTGGCAGGAATTAATTCCTTGAAATGCTATAGAGCGCAGTAACGGCAGTCAATTATTGTGGAGCGCCAGGGGTGTCTATTGAAGAACCCACTATTATTTGTGTACCCTGTGCAAAATACCAACTGGTCCGTTTAAAAATTGTTTAGTTGAAGCATGACACAGACCGTACCCTAGCATTCTTACCTTTTGATTCGATAGAGGTTTTACTGCAGCAAGAAGATTCATATATACAACGTCATGGTTCCACCATAAATTGAATATCAAGAGAGTGATTGGAGAGAGCAAGACCAAGAGTTTCAGGATGTTTCGACTACTTTGTGCCATCTATAACATAATAAGGATAATGATAATAATAACTATAATAATAATAATAATAATAATCATCATCATCACATCTTCAACATCATCATCATCATCATCATCATCATAATCATCATAATAAAAATAACATGTCACAGGTAAATCCTTGTTCACCTGCACCCAGTTCGGGGTTTATTGTATACAGGAGATTTTAATTAAGAAACAAGAAAAACCAAAAAAGGATATATCTAGACAGTAGTTTGAGTGAAAGATCTGGTTAAGAGGACACTTTTTTTTTTTTTTTTTTTTTTTTTTTTTTTTTTTTTTGGGGGGGGGGGGGGGGGGGGGGGGGGGGGGGGTCTCGAAATTTGAAAATGTGACATTTTGTTCCGTTGGGGGGGGGGGTAAGGTCACCTGTTTTAGGTCATCCATTGGCATATTTTTTTTATTTTTTATTTTTTTTTAATAAAAAATAAAAAATAAAAAAATTAAAAGGGGGGGGGAGTTTAAAAAAAAAATACACACAACATAAACATTAAAAAAAACTCAAGGGGGGTTTAACCCCCCCCCCCCCCCCCCCCCTGCGTACGCGCCTGACGGGGTTAAGCAAAATATTGCCGGTGTGAAAACAGTATAAGTTCTCATCATCTTTCTGTCTTTTCAGTAGCCACATTAATGCTTCAACGTATGACTGCGCATGCGCGAAGCGGGTTCTCATGTAATTTCTTCCAACGTCTCTCTCGTAAAATAAAGATCAACTTCAAACGGTAAGTTCTCGTTTAATCTTTCTATAAATAAATATTTGTTCCGTTGGCATCAATATAATCGTTTCATTTATGTAAGTTTGCCACGATTTGAATATTCTGTTCAACTTTGGTTATTAATGTTACAGAGGCTGTTTAACGATGAGAAAACAATAAAGTAAAGACTCAACTTCAGAACTTCTGACTCCGAATGCACTATTTTGTCGTCAAATAGCTCGAACCCTTTCAACGAAGAATAAGAATAAGAATAATGATAATGTTAATAATAATGGTACGCCTTCCCGGGAGGGAATGGTATAGTTGTATCTAAAATAGACACAGGAAAGGAGAATGAAGTTGATGATTCCTTAAGATAATTGACATGAAAATATCCAACAGTTATATTGCTATACCAATTGACTGGGACCTCCTATTTGACACTACGAGGAGGTTGTAATAAAGGGAGAATCTGTAGTCTGGTGATTTTATGAATAGATATGTTACAAAATCAACACAAGAGACGACAGTTTAGGAATACAAAATATATATCTGGAGCGATTAAAGAAAAATAACACAGCATTGAGGGTGACTAGCTACTAGTACTACCCTGCATTTGCATGGTCCTAAACAAAAATAAAACAAAGTCATAAGCCATATACAATGCTGAATAGAGCAATCATTAACATAGCCTATATTCTACTTTAAAAGTAGAATATATGTTAATGATTGCTAGAAAATTTCTCAAGTGTTCCTTGGAACAAACATTAACTGCCATGTTATTTGCATTCTCAATCAATCCATGAGGAAATAATTATACCTTAAGAAAACAACACGTACTCGACACATAATTACGAAGTTGAAAAATGCAGGAGACCACCATCTTAAGCCGGAGCTTGAACGTGATGGAAACTTATAACGCATACAAAAGGAAATAAATTAACTATAACAGCCACATATGGAAGAATCATTTTAGCGGCATGAAATAAAATGCGTCAAGTACATGAATGTGTATAATTACGTAAATGTATGTCTTTTGTGGAACATGTTATTTATGTTCTTTTATAAGTATGTGCATGGGCTAATATGTTTGCGAGTGCTTGTGTTTGGAGCGCTTATTTAATTATGATTTGTATGAAATAACTTTCGCTTCATGGCAGCCTTGAAAGAATATATTGTAGTACATGATTTATCAACTGTAGTTGGAAGAATATTCCATAGGTCAATGCCATGGTGTCAGAAAGATTTATGCACCGTTAGAAATTTCTGAGAGTTTCGTGTCGGATAAGAATGGATTGTGTTGTTTATCCCAAACAGGTTATGGAATGCCGGACTAAGTAGGTTATTGGAGTATAATTATGAACATACTGGACTGCAACCTGCAAAGTATTGACATAAACAAAACTGGCAATGTTTTCAGCTTCTGAAATAATGGTTCTGAGTTTGCGAGAAATGATCCGGTACGAATGCGAATAGCCGTTTTTTGCAATCGTTTTGACTTCGCACAACTTTCCCAAATATTACAATAAGTACTATATATGTAATTATTGTTGTATTATATAATGAAAACAAAACCTTTTGTGTTGAAAATTGTTTCATTTTACAAATAATTCCTACACCTTTAGACATAGATGTGTTAATATAACTTGAATGATAATTCCATGTTAGACATTCATCAATAATCACTCCGATAAACATAAAGCAACGCCTTTGTTCTAAAGGCAAGTTATCATCAATCAATAATTGTCATGTCTGCAGCTTGGTGTGCATTGGGGTGGTTAAAGTGCATAAATTGAGTTTTGTTTATTTTCAGAGATAACTTATTGCACTTAAACCATGTGGACTCTGTTAGTGACTCCTAATTCACTTGACTCGGTAACATTGTTGATGGTTGATGAAAAAACTGCGTAATATTTGTATATTATTATTATTTATATATTATATTCCACCTTCTGTACTAATAACCCTCTGACACGCAAACAAACCTGATCAAATTCTCAAACCACAAAGATATTTATGGCTTTCTTTGAAGGCGTCACTGTGCGACACCCTCCAACAGTAAATTCTTCCATACAATTTTTGTAATTTTTACAACCGTTTTCCATGAAATTAAGATATAAAACGTTTTTTTTTTAATGTGTAAGCACTTAAATGTTTGGAATTGTATATAGAGCCAATTCATTGCTTTGTGACGATATTCACGTAAAATATAATTAAATTATAATAATATGGTTGGGAGAATTAAGGAATCGATCAGATCAGTTTTCCCCAATTGTTATCATTAATAATGGTCAGTTTACACTCAAACTTTCAGAATATCTTACATCTTAGCAGAAGTTGAAGACAATACCTTAGCACCGTTTTCGCTCATCTGAACAACGTTACAAAGTCCATATAAGGTATTCATTAGTGTTTCAATGTTAATGTGTGAGTAAACATATTTGTGTAGTACCATATATCCCCGTACTATTATTAAAGTCTATCTGCTCTAGTTTGGCCAGGAGGGATGAGACCTCCCTGTGTGGTCACTGGCAGGTGGTTATCTCATCAAATCAGCTCTCAATTAACATAAGAAAAAAGGAACCATGGGGGGCAGGGGGGGGGGGCGGGTAGTGAGCACTAATGTTGTTTTTTGTTTTTTGGCTCAACCAGAGGGGTGGAATGGAGCTTCTTTTTTTTTACTCACACCCCCCCCCCCCCCTGCCCCTAAATCCGCCCCTGCATAAGGGATTAACGGGAACCGCTTAGGCATTGTTGGCTATAAGGCGCAGGTAGCTACAAGTAGTGCAGTCACGTTTCAAACGAAGGGGGGGTAAGTTGTATGTTTCGCTTGCTGAAAGCGATAACAGGAAGTTGTTCAAATATTCAAAATTATGTTTACACTTCTGGAATTAATATGGAGCAAACTAAAAGAATCTTTTTGAAATATTTACTCTGTTTTGCACTCATTCAATTCTTTACTTGATATATCAGAAAATTAGCATTGAAATATCTTTGACATTAAGTTTTTAGTCTTGTAATGCAAAATTATTTAGTTACAGGAAATGAAAAATGAAAAACGAACCAGGGACTTGTCTACCAAGTCCCTGAACGAACCTACTTGGAAGCAATGCTTGTTTGGTCTGATCAGGGACTTGTCTATCAAGTCCCTGGTCTGATGAAGGTTCGCACAATAATAATTAAAACTTTATACATTCATAAATTATTTTTGAAAGATTACGGAGAGAGAGAGGGTGGCCATGGAGGAATAATTTTAAAGTAGTACGATATGGCAACAAATCATACACGAGTCACAATTTCGATGTCAAAAGATGTTTGTTTGCGTGTGTAAAGAGTTGGTGGTAAGGTTTGCGCAAAAAAAGTGGCTTTGATCTTATAGACTGTACATACTATATTTATGTACAGTTTAATATCGAAGCCGTTTTGGGGGCAAACCATTTTTGTGTCTTTTCTTTTATGAATTGAATAATTTATTTTACCTCTTCGGGACATTTTGTAAACATTACATTAGGTAAAAATTGCTAAAGATAAAAGTGTGAATACAGTGCAAAAAAGGCAATAACCAGTAATGATATATAGGCCTACATGTGTGTTCATGCGCTGGCCAGTGAACTCTCACCCATAATTTCATACGGGAAAATTATACATACATGTGTTTAATAAAATTATAATTTTGGAGAATATATTCTCAAAGTGTGTACGTTTTATTGTTATGCACTGTTTTTATTCAAAGGGAAATGATTAAAGCTAAAAACATGACGCTTTGCAGCATCAGCTCCGACCAATGACCTCAATTTACAGGTCCCCGGTGCAACTTTAAGTATACTCACAATATTATAGGTCCTCAAACGAAAGAAATGACGAAATACGGGTTCCAATTATTCCATCTCACAAAACGGCTCAAATATTTCCCTAGTCCAAAATTTGGACGGTTCTTTGATCGCATGCACCACACCATAGACCTACCAACGCAATGCGACTCTAATTAATCACTGCTGTAACAACATTCTGTTTATATGTGATCTAATTGTGACTATAATGTTTATTATGCAAGAGGGCGCCAGAGATCATTGAAAAGAGACTGAATAAACCATACAGCCTGACAGAGGCACATGAATTAACCGTTTGTTGTGTTATTATTCAGGACTCCCTCATTTCAACTAACAACCAAAATATCACAATAACAAAATTACAAGGAACCTTATATCTACAATTAAGTAAACATAACGATTTAGAAGAGCATATAGTGAGAGGCTTTGTACCCAGCGGCGTCGCTAG